ATCACGAGCCGCGGGTGTTGATCGTTAAACCAGTACTGCATACTCTCCCATCTTCTGTCAAGTGTGCTGCACTCATCCACCGTTGGCGCCACGGTGATGTGGGCTTGAGAAACGGAGGACTCTGGCTCTCTGCTCTCTTGGTTGGGCAGTGTACGCAAATACGGATCCTTCCCACTAGTTCCAGTTCCCTCGTGCACCTTCGTGCGAAACAAATCCGCTGCTGGTGCCGCCACAGTCACAGAGCTTTGGAAATTAACGGAGAGGGGCTGCGACACCGACGCATGCTGCACCACACCAGCCCCGTGAGTGCCTAAAATAAGGCGTTCACGTGACTGCAGCTGACAAAGCTCTCTTGTTGAGGAATAAAAGCGCAAAAGCCACGCCCTGCTTCCTGGAAGTAAAGGCAAAGGACGTCGTGCTCGCAGCATCCACGTTTTGCAGTCAATAATTTCCCCTACAGACTGCGAAGAATAATAATAAAAGAAAAACAATTTGAAAAAAATCCAACAGCAAACATATCACATGAAAAAAGAATAAAAAACTCATCTTCCCGCGACCCAGACAAAAAAAAAAATCCCAGCGTAGTTGTTTTTTCCCCTTACACAAACACAACGTCCATAAAATACAAAAGACAAGTGAATAATGCGTTCTTAGCTTATAGGTTTACTCAAAAAAGTATTTGACTTGCGAAACACAGCCACTCAAACCTCGTCATCTCGGGGATATTGTAGCACCCCCAGAACTGATGTCTGGCCTCAAGTTGCAGAGCCTCTTCATACCCCCCGCCCTGCAGTAGCAGCAGTCCAAGCAAGAAACTGCACTGCACTGTCCATTGAAGCAGAAAGAGCGTCATGACTTTTAGGAACGCCGCCTTCGCAAACTCACCTGCCGGCGTCAAAAACACATTCATCAGCCTTAATGACGGCCCTTGCACCTCCAACTCACCAATGTGCCCGTAGTACAGGCGGCGCACCACCATGTAAAGCGTCCACACCGGCAAAAAAAGCCAGAGAAAGGAGGCAACGCCAGCCAAACAGAAAACAACCACCGCAGGAAGAAGGGCAGCTCCAAAGACAATGAACGTACTTCCCTGAATCAGGACCGTTTCGAGATCCTCCAGCTCCAGCCTGCCAATGTGACCAAGCACCTCCACAATAAGCACCGAGTCTGCCGGCTCTTCCGGCTCCACAATCATCCCTCGCGTCCCACGCTCGAGGTCTAGAGGCAGCAGCAACCTCGCACCGTACTCCAGGACGGGAGTCAACAGCCCACTCATCAAGTTGGCAGCGGAGCACACAACGAGGCGGTCCCACCCGCCCTTGTAATCAAAGTGATACTGCAGCACAACCAGCATCATCAGGCTTTTTACTGTTGCTACAATCATATATTTTGGGTTGTACACAAACACCATGTGCTGTGCCTCCTTTCTTACAGACCGAAGGGAGTCACGCAGCGCGTTGTTTAATACGTTGGCGTGCGGTTGTAGAGGAGCCTCCACCTGTAACTCAGTGTCAGACATATGTTGAATAAAAAATGTGTCGTAGGAGTTATCGCCAGTAAAAATACTCGTGCCAAGGAGTCCATCGGTCTCAATGGAAGCTTCGCCACGGCTCGGTGGGATCCCGCTGGATTCCTGCAAATCGGATATTTTCGTTCGACGAGTCAACCGTAAAATTCTCCCCCACTTTCGAATTGTGTGTGCAAGTTTGCCAGGGCGGGACATAAAATAATTAAAAGCCGTGTTCCACAAACAGCACAAAAAACTCGCCAGCAGTATGACGTAAAAGGGCGGTATCAACACGACATCCGGCACCGGTGTCAGTGGAGTACTACAAAACGGCCTCAGTGGCGTCACCCCAACATCCTTCACGCTCTGCATTCCCCCCCTTAGAAACGCAGAGTGATGCTAAAAAGAAAAAAAAATATATTCAAATCCCCACAAATGCCGCTTCCCCCCCCCTCCCCCGTACACACGTCGAGAAGATGGCAAGCAATAATTAAAAACAAAAGAGAAATACCCCTTCCATCAAAAGGGCACGCCAGTGAAATTCCAAAAAGAATCCGTCCTTCGAGGATTGGCGCCCGATCCACAGAACACAAATACGGCAGAGGTGCTCAAAAAAAAAAAAAAAAAAAAAAAAAAAAGAAAAGCTTTCCAATAAGCGCCACTTGTCATCCTTTTCCCTTTTCCCGCAGCAACGTTCACATACATGCATCTCCTCTCCCCTTCAAAATATGTTAAATGCAACTCATCCGGTTAGTCGTCTATCCGGCTTCAACAACAACGACAAGAAAAAGAAAAAGAAAAAGGGAACGGACCTTGCGATCACTTTGCATAAATTCGTTAAATGTAATATGCATCTGTCATAAGGCCGCGTCCTCTCATTCACAAAAGGGAAAAGAGCAATAAAAGAAGATTACAGTTGGGCCCAATGTGCCTGACATTCTCCACATTTCAGCCGATTTATCCAATGCGCATACTCTACTAAAGAAGCGTATAAATAAAAGCACTTCAAGACAGTCAGGCTCCTTGTAAACTCGCAAGGTGACAGTCATTAAAAGAGCCCCACAACCCACAAAGTTTTCTCCACGTGGAGGGCTGTGGAAAAAAGGGCGCGTAAGAAAGCAGAAAAAAATAATAAATAAATAAGAAGCAAACAAACAAACAAAAAAAAAAACGCGCTCGCTACATGCCATTGCTGCATTTTGGGAAGTACATATCAAATGAGGCAATACATGAACAGAAAAGTTAAACACGGCGAAGTAACATCACCCCACCACACAGATAAATACACACAGACACACAAACACACACAAAAAAACAACAACAACCGGTAACAAAGGTGCTTAAATTTGCAGCTTCAATCATTTCTCTTTTTTTCACCTTCTTTCTTAGTAATAAATAATAATTATATATATATATATATATATTTTTACGTTCACTCCCGCTGCTCCAATTGGCAATATGTACATGTTATACTACATGCTGTTTCCTTCAAATGGGCAAAACAAATCATGTTGACGCACGAGTCACACCCTGAATTGTCGTGCTAGAAAGCAATTTAGCCAAAGAAGGCCTAAAGAAAGAGAGAGGGAAAGAGGGAAGGGATCAGAACAATACATCTGCTTGCAATTACGCCAGCGCCGCGGTTGGTTAAAGATTATCAAAGGAACATAACGCCGTAGGCATAAAAATTTCTTTTTGATCCATCCCACACTTTGTATCTTTATCCGCCCTGATGGCATCCTGCAATTGGAGAATGACCCGCTGTGCTCGACCATTCCACCTGTAATAGTTTTTCTCCAAGGCATCCTGGTGGCGCCGGTATGCCATTTCCTCTGCGCGGTTACGGTGTTGTTCTATATCGCGTGTAATTTCATTAAGATTTTCTTGTTCTCTTGCCTCGCGAGCACCCTTGACTAACTCACCCCGTTTTTTCTTTTCACGTGCCATTTCAATTATTTCATCATTACGCTCAATTCGCTTTTCAAGCTGAGCTCTGTAATTTTGTCTCTGTCTCTCTATGCGCTCTTGTCGTGCGTGGGCCCGAAGCTGTAATTCGTACTGCCTGAAGGCTTGCTCTGCCTCATACCGTGCCTTATGCTGCTCCTCCTTTTCCTTCAATTCCCTCAAAAGCGTCTCATGGGTTTTATACCTCGATGGTGCTGCCGCCTCCATGAAGCCATCGTCAGTGCCAGCCCTGCTGCTGTTGCGACGACGGGCCAGAAAGGAGTGTACGTCTTTTCTTTTATTTAGTATGGCGTCAACTCCCTCGTCCTGTTCTAATTTCCTCATGTGAGAAATAAATGCGGCTTGTTTTTCACGTCTCCTTTCTTCTTCTTTCTGCTTCCGGCGGTTAAGAACCTCACGACAGCGTTCCATGCGCTTCCGTGATTTCTCTTTATGCTCATAAGCAGTTCGTGCACGTTCCTCTTGCAGACGTGAGAGAATTCTGTTCCTCTTCTCGCCCTCTGCTTCCGCTCGTTCAATCACTGCGGCCTGTGCATCCAAAATGGAATTTTTGTACTTCTCTATCCGCCCACCCACTTCCTTGTTTTTTTGATTGTAATAAAAGCGCTTTTCCTCTTGCATTTCAGACACCAGTTGTTTTCGTCGCCCAACGTCTTTCTCGAGCACATCTCTCCGCTCCTCATCCTTCTTCGCCCGACGCAAATAAACATCAAGGACCCTTTTCTTCCTTGAAATGTCATCAAGACGCTGCTTCTCACAAATTCTTCGCTCCGCTTCTTCAAGGGCATACTGCAGCGCAGTGATACGTCTTTTGATGGACACACAATTCGCGCCAGACGGGGGCTCCCTGCATGCTTCACCCATTATACTCTCTAGCTGTGCACTAATAACGTGATATTTACGTAGTTCCGGTGACAAGCCCGCATTGCCCACTTGGGACTGTCCACCGCTTGGAAGAGTCTCCCCGTCCAGCATAGAATTCTAAAACCTGCGGCAACCGCCTGCCTTCTTCTTCATGAAACAATTTCTTCATATGAAAGACAATTTTGGTCAGTGACAACCGTAAAAAGTAAGAGCAAGAAAAGGAAAATAAATAAACAACAACAACAAAAACACATACACACACACACACAAAAAAAAAAAAAAAGGGCGTCTTTATGTGTAAACGCGTCCGCACTCGCACCCGTGTTGAATACCGACATCTCATTTCCCCCCCCTTTTCATTGTATTCATGTCGTTTCGCGTGAGACGTATTCAATTAGAATGGATTTGCCCATTCCAGCGATCCCGCTGCCATGGATTACGCAAATCAACATTGGTCACAGGCAACTTTGTTCTATGGAGTATGTATTAAACAGAAGAGGTTCGTCCCACGCATACTTATAATTGACCGCCCAAATAGACACACACACACACACACACACACACACGGAAAGGTACACAAATGATAACAATAAACAAATACATACAGCAAATAATAATAATAATAATAATAATAATAATAAAGGTTATGATAAATCAGCAAACACTATCGCTTATTTCTATACTCTCGGAGTTGCCTTAGAATAAGTTCTCGACCAAACTCGGTGAGGGCTCCGTCGCTGCCAAAAGCCGCGTGCTCAGAAATGACATCGCGATACAAACGTGGAGATGCGGTGGTCGCCTCTGCAACGGACTCGCATTTCTTCATCCCCCGCGATGTGATGTCGGCAGCAGCGGCGTCTTCGGAGCTGCGATCGGATGAGACTGCTGCGGACCTGCGAGATGAACGATCTTTGAGAGGTACGCCAGCAAAATCTTTTTTCCTCAAAAAAGCATCGCTATGGGCGGTGTGGCTTCGACGTAGTTTTTCAAATCTATTACGCTTCGGCGAGAACGTCCCTTCTTCGAATGATGCCTCTGCCGGCGCCACAAATGCTGGTTTTGTATGAAGAGTGGACAGCGCTCGGGGAGAGCGAGTGCCTGCACTTTGTGACCGATGCAGCCTTGGGTGGGTTCCGCCTTCACCAAAGAGTTCTCGTGCAGAAGCAGTCGGAAAGGCGGCGGCGGCTCCTCCAGCATGTTCTTCCCCTTCGAGGGTTTTTTGAATGTGAGCTCGACGGAGTTCGTCTGCCCTAGTTGTTTTCACATCCACTTTGTGGTTCACATGACACTCTCGTGGCACCTTCCTAGGTGGAGGCGGACGGAATGTACATTGACGCATTTCTTCCTCTATCATTGCCTGACGTTTCTGATTCTCCTCCTCCGCCATTTGCCGCTTCCGTTCCAATCGTCGGGCCCTCACTTCTTCAAGTTCCTCCGGTGAAAGAGCTCCACGTTGAAACTTCTTTCGTGCCCCTGCATAGCTGCCGTTGTCATCATCCGTGAGATTGGCCTCCATCGCGTGAATCCGTGGGGGAGGCACTCGACCCAGCGGACTTGCATGTGGATTGGAGAGCCCCTCCACGGCCTTCTCACAGAGAGCAATAAATCCCTCTTTGTTCAGTTTGCTTGCGCCGCTGGATAATATAATGTTGCGCAACTCTTCCGCCTCATCGGGTGACAAAATAATCACAGCCGCCCTCACAAGTTCCTCTGCACGGTGTTCGGTGAGAGTCCGTTGTGAGCCCTCACGGCTCTGGCGTTCCTTATTTATGGCACTCGAAAGCACATTAAATTTCGCCTCGATAAACGATCGCCGACGCTCACGTTGTAACAACTCCTGCAGTCCTCGGACGTACTCCGACCGCATCAGCTTCAACTCCTCATTCTCCTGTGTTGCCTCAAGTTGCCGACGCAGATTTCCAGTTTGGTTAGAATACACTGGTGGCTTAAGAAGCCGCTCCACCACGTCTTCTACAACCTGTCCACCCTGGCGTTGCTTCGCGACAATTCTTTCCGAGTTCACACTCACTCTTGGTTTAAAAGGGGGTGATGTGCTCTGCGATCGCCTCCTCTTGACTTCATCCGGCTGTACCACAACACCATGAGAAAACAGTCGCTCTACAACAGAGTTAATTTTATCCTCCGGTAGAGGTTTGTTAGCCGGACTCTTAAAAAGCATATGACGCTCCAATTGCTCCACAACGTACGGCCGCACCTCCCGTACAAAGTGATTTTGCTCCTCATGGTGATGGTAAAGCTTACTGAAGACATGGGAGTCGTGCGTATGGGCAGAGGACTTTAACATGGCCGCTCGAAGAGTTAATGGGCGAAACGTACATCCCTCAAGTTCCCGTCTTATGTGCTCCTGTCGTTTCTTTGTTCGCCATTCCTCCCTTCGCATGAGTTCATTGTAAACCCGATTATGCGGTGCCAGCTCAGCGGGTCTTTGAATCTTTGCCGCATATGATGAGAGTTGGGGCTTAAATGGACAGTCCCGCTCAACCTTTGCATTTTCCAGCATCATCTGCCGCATTTGCTCCACCGCTGCCCACTGCCGTTTTGCAATTTGGGCCCGCATGGCATCCTCGTAGAGATCACCATGTCGAGAGCGTTGGTAATTATCAGCACTGGGAGTCGTGTTATCCAGCGGTGTTTCGCCATGCGAGGTGGGTCCACCTTGGTCAGCTTCACTCACCTCCACATGGGAGCTTCCGCGCACCGGCTCAACTGGCGAACGGGTTTCGCTTAAAATATCCCGCGGTGACGCGCCACTGTCCTCATTGTAGCGAATTGTTGATGGGGTGAGCTCTATGGTGTCGTTACGCCGAGACGACACAAAGGAAAATGGGTCGCCTCCAACCAAATTGGCTGCCGAAAAGAAGTTGGGGCTAATAGCGTCAAACCAGCGTGTGGCAGTTGATGCCGATGGTTTGTCCTGAAAATTGATATCTATGGAATCCAACATTAAAACCGCGTCACCTGCAATGCTGTCAGCCAAAACAACAGCAACAACCAAACAAAAGACACGCAAACAAAAACCCGGAAGAAAAAATAGAAGGCAGGTAACATACGTAAATTAAAATGCATCCAAACATATCAAAACATTGAGCAAAATGAGAATGCACGTCCGCAAGCGGATAATTACGTGTACACCCACCCATCCACACGCAAACAAAAAAAGAGATAATAGGGACAGAGACGGGAAAGCGGCCAACAAAACCGCAGTAATTAAAAAGAAAGAAAGAAAAAAAAAAACATTTTTTACACGTTCCTTTTCGCCTCCCCTTCCTCCTTCCTTCTCTTTTTCTTGTGATTCATCTGCTCAGGTTACGTATCCGGGGCTCTCGCAGAGCGTGTCAAGGCCAATTGATACGGCATTTGGTGGCGCTCAAGTGCCATTTTTTGTGTCTTCATGTTGGACGAGTTATCATCGACTTTTGGCGGCTCAGGCTGATCCACATGTAGCAGATCCGTAAGAACATCGTTTTGCTCCCAGTTCGCCGCTCTGGCTAATTCGCGGATTTTGTTGACAAATGCAGACTTAGCCCCGTCACGAGCGTCAATAACAAATTTCGCCGTCTCCGCCACCACCACTGCATTTATTGCCATTGCCACTTCGAAGAATTCAGGTGACATGAGCTGTGTGCAACTCGTTCCCACAAAGGCCAAATCAAATTTCTTATTCTTTTTCTCGCGTATGTGCTGCATAAAGCGGGTGAAGTCCAGCCCGATAAAATGAAAGCGAACATCCGGGAGGACTGCCTGATGGGCAACATCACTGGGCGTCCCTGGCGGCAGGTAGTTGTAGTTTGCAGGGTCGTCCCAGGCAAAGGCGTGATCGCTCCACGGCCATGACTGCCCCGTCAAAAGCCCATACAGCCATGCCCGCACATTATGCATGGAGACGACACCGTTACCGTACTTGCATGTGCCATCAATCGTCTTTGCACGGATGTGTGTGTTGGCCGTCTGTGCGCCAAACGCAAAGAAGGGACCGTTCTTCACGTCACCAAGAAACGTGCCAATGCCTTTTGCATTAAAGTGACACAACGTCTTGTTCGGTACCAAGTAATTATAAGTGAAACCACGGCGTGGATTTATATGCGTGGCGTCAAAGGCAATGCCTGTATTGCGCCACGTACGATATTCGGCAAATTTAATTAGATTCGTGTAGTCACAAAGATAAAAATTGAAATCCCAGTCAATAATATTATCCCGGTTGTCGTATCGTTCTGCCATCTCGTGGCGCAGTCGGCGTAACCATGAGTCCTCAACTTTTGCCTGTGATGTATCAAAGGCCCAATGCACAATTTGCTCCTCCACAAAATCACGTTCCTTGGACTTCATCTCCGTGAATGAGACAAGCCGGGCAAGTTCACCCTCCTCGTTTCTAAGCACACGTAACAGTCGCTGGGACACACTTCGACTCTGTGCAGAGGTGGTGTCGCGAGTTAGGGCGTTTCCAAAGACATCCAAAAACATCAGCACTTGCTCCTCCAGCTCATCCAGGGAAAACATGCTATCTAGCAGCCACTGTAAAAAAAAAAGGTAACGGCAATGTATCCGCAAATTGGGCTCGTAAATGAAGAAATGATAGACGGGAGGCGGTTGTGCGGCCATTTTTGACTTGACTTGTAGACTCGAAAGCGTGCGGAATATGTGTCTAATATCACATGCCCCACAGAGGAGAACACGCACAATGTCTCTACTGCCTTCATCTTTCTTCTCTTTCGGTATGCGTTGTTGTATCGCCGCAATCATGGCATCTATATCCACATCAAATTTTCTGTCCTTTTTTACATTATCCCCATTCGTTGTTTTGCCTTCTTCTGGTTCTTCTTTGGTCTCCTCAGCAACATATTCGGTGTCATCAGTTGCGTGTTTCTCTCGCCGCTCCAAAATCTCCGTAAAGTCAACAGCAGGGGACCAGCCCCACGCCAATTCGGTGCCAACCCCATTAATAAAATGTTCCTTACCGTCGTGGAGGTACTTGTAGCTCATGACAGCGACTACCAACTACTATAATATACATATGCATAAATAGATTAAGAGCGACATACGGGGTAAGTGCAAATGATTGTGCAAAATGGGCAGCAAACAGACAAAAATGTGTATATATGAATCAAAAAGGATAACACATTCCTGCTCCATCTCATTCACCTGTTGCCTCCAAGTGGATCTTTGCTGTTCGTCTTCCTCTTCTTCACCACAAGAGTATCAACCCATTTTTTTCCTATTAGTTCCAGGAAAGAAGATACATGGCGGAGAGGGATGGGGAAAAGGCAAGCAATGAATTTGACTTGCCAAGGACATTCACCAGATTCAAATCCTCCACCTTCTCCCCATGGTCCACCACCACGATAGAGCTCTCATCAGCAGGACGCAGCTCCATCCGACACCCACCGCCCGCCGTTTCTCCACCCAACCTCCACGACATCTCCACATTATATAGAAGGATCGTACCCTCACGGTCTGTGAGAAAAAGAGAGAGAAGTGGGGCGGCGAGAGCAGGGGTTTCAATGACACGTACGCAGCCCGCATACACTGGCCGAGGCGTACAGATGCTGCTGCGCATTAAAATAACGACTGGGTTTGTTATATCATCCGTGAAACGAACACTTAAAAGCAGAGCACGTTGGCCACGTGTCAGCACCAGCACTTCCCCTTCTGATTCCTTATCCTCCACAGGCAATAAGCACGTTGGAATCGCCTCCTTTAAAGATGCATCAATAGTTCGAAGTGTGCGGGCGGGTCCAGCTTGCCTCAACCCCGTAGCAGAAATGGACCAAAAGCAAAGAGTCCCATTGTTTCCAGCAGTAACAAGACCACCTGTTTTTCCAGCCAAAATACAGATTGAAAGCACATAATTGGAATGATGTGCATCAGCTATTCGTTGTAAGGCCTTCCCTTCACGGATGTCTAGTAACTGAATGGCACCATCGAATGAACCGGAAACCACCCAGGAGTGGTGCCCCGAAAGGACAGGATTTCGTACGCCTGCAAAGACGAGAGATTTCACACCACTGGTGTGAACCTGAGAAAAGCGACGTACCAACTTTCGTGTCTCCGCATTATAGATTTTTACGCAGCCATCTCGATATCCTACTGCAACCCATGTCGCAGAAGACTCCTCCGCAGCATCAAGGGCAATGCTCAACACACCGTCGGTATGTCCAACGGAGCTCCCCACTGATGAAGCAGAATCCACATCTAAGAAATCTACCGTCCCGTCTGTCTTACCAACAATAAGGGCTGTAAACATTTGCTCTTTATCAGCCGCATTTGGGAGCAAAGTATGAACACACGAAATGGGTCTCTCGGCATTGTCAAAGACAATTTTACGTCGAATATTCTTTGGACATTCAAGTGGATAGTGCAAAAACAAGGCTGAAGAAACCAAAGATGATGCAGAAAAATCATCGGGTCGTTCTCGCTTTAATGATGGGTTTTTTGTGCTGCGATGATTGCCATCCAGATCATTTTGCAGCCTCCATAGCGCCGCCGGTAAAAATCCATTGTATGGCTCTGTGTTCCAATTGATGGCTTCTTGTAACGTCCTCAATAATGCCTCCCTTTTTTCTTTCACCTCAATAGACACCCCTCCATTTCCATGTTTATTCATTTCATCTAAAAAAATGTTCTTGTGAGAGTCCAATAACTGCTGCAAACGCGCATACCGTGCCAAAGATGATTTTTTCATGGCTACAAAGATCGGAGAGTTTGTGAAAAAAGCCCTTGCCGCATGTACAAAGCCCTGCAGAGTCAAAAGTTCCACAAAGATGTGTTCGTACAAGTCAAACAATACTTCCATGGGAAGCAACAGAGAGTCCACATAGTTTGCTAGCACTGTGTGCCATTGCCCTTCAAGAACAGATCGCTCCAAACCGGCAGGGCTTGTAGACGTCACGGAAGCGTTTTGTTCGGTAAGTTCTTTTGGTTCCACAACATCTATGGTGTTGAATGGCACTCGGGACTCGTTCTGCAGTGCAAGAAGGGCATTTTTGTAGCCGTATGCCTGCAAAAAGGCATACACATGTCTCAATACTTCTTCATGAGCAATAACACCGTCTGCCATCGAATTCCGTCAAGATCCCTTCTCCCTTATCCTTGTATCCCCTATCCAAAGAACCAGTCCCGTGTATGATAAGTGATAATTCTAAAGCAAACGGAGAAAGAAAGAAAGAAAGAAAGAAATATATTATATAACGCCCACATAGAGGTAGAATTGCACCCCAAAGAAACCAAAAAAAAAAAAAAAAAAACGAGCAAACAACAAGACGACGGCAACAACAACAACAACAAAAACATCAATGAAACTGCGCAAAACCTCCCCGAATTGCCCACACCTCATTTCATCCTTGGGACAGCCCGGTGGGAAGCAACAATTCTTGCGAGCTTCGCCAAGGCGACGGACTCTCTCTGAGCTTGCACTCTGATAAGACGCTCCTTTCTCCGCCGAGCATCCCCCAGTTTGGTCTCCATGCGTTCTCGGGCGATGCGTCTACCCTCCGTCATGGCGTGATTGTAAAGATCTCTTTCACCTTGCGCTCCCTCGAATTTTGAAGGCAAAGAAGCCGCAACAATACTCCCATTATCACCCAAATAGATTCTATGTTCTTGAAGAATACGATTTCGACGAAGAATGGGAAGTATTTCCAGGGCAAGACGGCGCGCAAGAGCCTCCTCTTCACGGTGTCGAGACTCGGGGTCCAATACGTCGGTAGTTTCCGCGCAGCCCATAGGCACGTTAGCACTACTGTGAAACCGTTTACTTCGTTGTGCAGTGGCTCGAAGCAGAGCAGGGTCATAAGAAGGACTTCCAGGTTGGCGCTGTCGACGATGACGTATTTGCTGCTCCTTCTGCGCCTGTCGTTGAGTAAATTGTTGCATAGCTGCCTCCGCAGAACGGTGTAGTTCTTCATCTTCATCCGGCAACACCGTCGGCGTTTCCCCACTCCTTCTCGTTTCATGAGGAACAGAACTTGTTTGAGGTGCAAAGTCGCTTGATATTGTCGGTGCTTCCAAAGGTAAAGGTCGCCGTGCCTCCAAATGTTGCGAAGTACTGCGTTCAACTGCCTCTTGCAGCCACGCTGGGGGCGCAACAAAAACTTTCTTGCCGTTTATCTGGCATGGAGGAACGGCTTCTGGGTGGGACGCCACTAGAGGCGTACTATTATCCGTATCATTAGCATCATCCTTTGGACGTTCACTGTTGAGAGGTGTTTCACTCACCGCGTCGGTCGCTGCCAACAGAGTTGCCGAGGAAAGGGATGAGGAAGTGATGGCAACTGACACTGATGCACGAAGCCGTGTGCAATCGGGACAAAAATACCCCGCTGGCTGCTCTGACAGATTTACGCAGTCGAGATGCACCGTATTCGAACATTGTCGGCGGTCACAAAGAATCATCCGAGACGCATTATCGCTCTCACCGCACACATGACACACGAAAAAAATAGGCGTCGAGACCCGATTGTCATCCCTATTGTTCTGATCTTCTTCTTCTTCCTCTTCATCCTCCCATAGTCTGTAGTTTCGCTTTCTTACCTTCGTGATCTCCTCCTTTCCTTCTGGATCCACAGTGAAGATGCGAGTAAACCGGGCCTTGCAATGAGGACAGACGTTTGTGCTCTGCGCCCATTCCTTGATGCAGTATGCACAAAAAATGTGACTGCAGGAGTTCAATCGGCCTCTTGGATTATCAAAGGGGTAAATCTTCGTGAAGCATATCCCACAGATTTCATCATCAGAGACCCTCTCCGCAGCGACCTTCCCGTTGGTGACTCCACTTGCCATCTCGACACAGGAAGAAAAGGGAAAGTAAAGAAAATTAAATTGATCCAAGAAAATGTTCGTAAAAAAAAAAAAAAAGTTCGCGACAGCCGGAGCTCCGCTTAGCCGCCAAATTTCCTTTATTATTATGTTTTTATTTTCTCTCACTTCTCTTCTCAAAGTAATTTTGTTTTCTTTGATAGCCCGTCTGTCTGCCAACATTTTTTCTTTTTCTTTTCGTTATACAACATGGTCACTATTCATTGAACGCCCGAGGGCTCTCCGTAGAAACGTGGCCAACTTTCCCGTCTCGAATAACGCTGTCATGCGACATAGATTTCCTCCAAAGATTCGAATGCTCAGTGGTCGACGACGGGGGCACTCCCACGGCATGTGCGATAGAATTTCCCGTGGACCGTCAATGTGCTCAGCGGCTGGTGGGATTGCAGCAGAGGAGTGGCTGAAGGGCCATTGTTTTCATTGGAGCTTGCAGAGTTGCGTTGTCCGTTTTTTGCTCGTTGATACGCTTGGCATTTTCGGTAGTGACCTGCGCGTAAGTCACTTGTTTTGAAGACCGTGGAGCTGTCGCAAAAACACATTTGAGGCTTTCAACGATTGGAGTGCCAGGGTGGACACGTCGGCTGTGTACCTTCATATGATGAACGGACGAGAAGAGTCTGCCATCGATTGGGCAGGGCGACGCTGACCTGCTGCTCGTCGTTCTCCGAGGAGGTGCCGTGGACACGCCAGGTGGAGGTTCCGGCGGCGGCCGGGGCGGTCCTGTCTCTTCAGTGTGAGGAAGGGACGGCACCACCGACATAAAGGGTTGCATGTAATCTGCAGGGCGCGTGCCGGTCTGCCGAAGAGTGGGCAGGGGTCGCAACGTGCCTGCGCACAGAGACGTGATTCGATGCCCGATGTCTGCCTGGACACCAGGAAATTTTTTTTTTCTTTTACACCGACGAGCGCCTGGCGTGCGGTGTGTGCGACTTCTTCTTCCTCCTGGACTTCCTTCCAGCATAGCCTCTTGACGGCGGTAAGGAATTCCACGTGCCAGATTGGGATGCCTCATTGCTGCAGGGATCGTGCAATCGTGGCTTCTTCGTCAGCGGCCTCATTGCGTGGGATACCGCAGTGCGATGGGGAAAATATAAAATCCACAGGGTGACCTTGCTTTATCAAGGAGAGCAGCATAACCCAAATTTCTTCTGTAACGCGGTCTCGCATGGTCAATGGGCAACGCGGAGTGCCTCAATCGCCGACAGGCAGTTTGTTGCCACCAGGATTCGTGTGGGCAATTGGGATGTTTCCAGACGAGGAGGTATGAGATGCCCAAAGCCATTTTCAATGGCAAGGCACTCTGCTCTATGAGCATGCGAGCCTGCCTGCTGCTGCACGATGGACCTCCACAGGAGATCATTTGTCTTTGTGGTGTCGTATAATAGCGCAGCGGATCCAGATGCGAGTGCAGCGAGGGATGAAGAAGCGACCGTCCATAATTCAAAATCATAATCTCCTAGAGAGGAATAAAGGGAATCAAAAGCCGTGCGCTTGACATCGTCAGAGGCGTCTTTGGCAAATAGTGGCTGATAAAGTCTCACTTTATTGCAGCTCACAGTGTCCCAGGAAAAAATTCGATGTTGAATGGGAGGAGCACGATTGTGGTTGCGGGGTATCCCAATAATGTTACAGAGGCGGCGTAATGCGTTAATAACAGCATCTCTCGGAAGCGGGATTGATGTCCTCGTTTTCCCATGCATGGATGGAGGCATAGGTTCCGAGTAGATAAGGGAGCGCAAATCCTCGTGGTCATGGAGGCGTATACAGCGTTCGTATTGTGTGAGTGCACGAAGCCATAGAAACTTTTGGAGCGGGAGAGAAGATTGGCTTCAAAGTAAGCAGATGTATCTTCTGTAGGTGCGATTAGGCCAAGGGCCAGCCAACATCGTAGAACACATCATTCCTCGCCGTTTAGGTTCGTGAGGAACAGCCCAAAGCCTCTCACAGAGAGGGGGAGAGAGCAAAACAAAACAAAACGAAAAAAGACCGCAGTAAAATACAATGAAATACGCTCCCTGACAAACGCTACAGAGTCCAACATCCACCCGTCATCAAAAAAAAAAAAAAAAAAAAAAAAAAAAATAATCGGTAAAATAATAAAACACACACACAAAAAGAGTGAATGCTCAACAAAGTGTGGAGGGATTGCACCGTGAATGCTGCGGAATAAAAGGCGTCCCTCCCCATTTCTCCCCCGTTAATTATTCCTCGTTCTCTCAATCCATGGAGCGACAAGGTGGTGCGGTGTCAGCCTCACAACGCGCATAAAACTATTCCCCATTAAAGACACCCACGCGAGACAAAAACACTTCCGAGACAGCAGTCCTCTTCAATGCTGAAGGAAAAAAAAAAAAAAAAAAAAAAAAAACGGATAAAAAAAAAAAAAAAGAAAACAATAACGGCGACCATATACAAAATTTCAGAAAACCAATACTCTCACCAAGACGTTCGTAAACAAACAAACAAACAAAAAAGCGGGAAGGACTATATCAGTCAAACAGTTAAGTAAAATTCGGGCAATACGCTCAGTGTTTCTGAAGGAGCCCGTCTGCATACACACACACACACACACACGCATACTGTAAAGAGAAATAGAATGCAAAGAAGAAAAAGTAGGCTTCAAAAACAACAATCACCACCTTCTATTTCTCTTCCCGCCATTCTACATAGCACTTAAACAATACATAAAAGATAATAATAACAATAGATAAAAAATAACATATGCACAAAAGACACAAACTATGGTTCATTTGTCAAGGGCAGTACTGTTAGAACGGACCTTTGTTTGTCATCCCGCTGCAAACAAGCAGCAAATGTGGTACTATAACTCTCAAACAATGAGAGTGAAGCCACAGCAACCCTGAGTGACTCAACATCCACTCGAACAGGAGAGTAGCATGGTTCCTGTACCCAGTGCTCTGGCAATACTTCCTCATGCGAATTCACCAAGCGTTCAAATGGTAAGGAGGCACGATTGCTAATGGTGGAGCTCGACGGCAGAGACAAACGGGAAGGGCGATATGTGAGAGCTGACGGTTGGCGCAATATAAAATCTTCCTCATACCAAAGGATTTGAAGAACCTTTTGTTTATTTTTCAACGGTGTAGAACAGGCTTCATCCGAGTCTTGCTTGGCATAAAAGGTAGAAGCCACCGTAAATATTGGCATGGAATAAAAACAGGAAAATAGAGGACCCTTTTCCGTCACAAGCTTCCATGAATGCAATTCGGGGTCCAAGCACACAGCATGGGCAAGACTGTAACGGCAAACTCCGACCATTGCATTCTCACAAAAACTACCATCACATGAAGCATTGCCAACGGATGTTGGAGAAGTATCAACAGCTTTTTTTTCATCAGAAGCAACATTTGCAATTGAGCTTTCCTCTCCGCTCACCTGGGCACCCAATCCACCACATCCCTTTACCCGGAATAAACTTGAACGGTGAGGTGGGTGTGGACCCAGCATTCGGACAATGTAAAACACATGTAACTTCTCTCTATGCAGAACAAGATGAGGGCGTATAATATGTGCAGAAACTCCCTCAGTCTTTGCCCATACAGGAATGGGAAGCATCGTCGTCGTCGGTGAGTTGAATAAACCCCCAAACAAGCTCCCAGAAAGTACCGTAAACTCTTGTGTATATTTTTTATCATCATCAAAGTAAAGGATGCTATCGACAGATGGTTGAATTTGTCCTAGTGTTACATATTGACAATCCCACTTCTGTGGAGGACAAAACACCTCATACCCCTTTACTGTCACATCTCTGTCGCTCACAATCACAGGAGGCTCGCCACTCTTGTTTATCGTCAGCATACAGCCCGCAAAGTCTGAAGGACGAGTTTTTTCCTTCCCACTGTTGGCATGCCGAGTGGCAAAGAGAACAAGGTCAGAGGCATCTGTTTCAGGTTCTTCAATAACAGAAACCTGCGCATGAAGAAGAACATCATTGGTCTCAAGTACTAATTGTCCCAGCGAAATAAAAGGATACATACGGGTTCGGGCAAGCAAAGTACGGCGTCGGTGTTGTCCACTTGAATCTCGAGCATGAGCAGGGGGTGTCAGAGGAGGAGTGATACCCATCTGAAAATATTGGTCTTGTAAAGTGGCTCTTGCTGCACGCATCGCCGAATCAATATCTCCTAGCTTGTCCTCAATAAACCCTGGAGCCATAAAGGACCTATGTGCCGATACCATCTTTTTACCCCATGTGCTCACCTCTTGTGGAACGGGTGGTGCATTACTGACCACCCCTATTGAACGTGTTTCCTCGTAGTGAATTATGTCTAATAACAGTTCCATATTGTTAATTAAACGTATAATTTGGTAAAGGCCATAATCCTGTCTTTCGCGAATACGAACAAAGCAACCAGCAACTATATCAACATAGGTTCCACCAAAAGAAGGGTGCAGTAGCAGTTCAATGTCCTTGCGGAAGAGACAAATGCGATCCACCTGAGGAATATCAAGCAATGCCCAACTTGCTGAAGACGGGCGAGCAACCACTCCCGCCTCTGAAAGACTAGGACTTCTTGACGAAAACGGCCAAGCTTCGTCTTCTTTGCTCGATGTTTGTGAGATGTCAACTTGTGCTGGTGTTGCGTGCTGTGTGTATGGCTCTGAGCATACAAAACTCGTCTCCCCATCGTGTGGCTGCCCCGCCATTTTAGACGTCAGAATTTTCACTGGGAGGATTTCAACACCACTTTTGAGTTTCTCCACCACTTGGGTTTGAAAGTCTGACACGGACATCCACGTCACGTGGGTGTTGAGAAGTCTACTGAGCTCTTTCGTGAGCTCCGGCAAATTGCTCGCCTTCACGAGGAGTTGCTCCTGAAAACTATCGTCGGTGATAGCTTTGACCCAAAACTTCATCCCGTCCACTACTTTTCAAAATCACACAAATAAACACATGCGCAGACAGCGGGTGGATAACCCCCCCAGAAAGAAGAAATAAAAATAGATAAAAGGAAATAACACAAAGAAACAACAAGAACAACAACGAAAAAGAGCAAACAAAAGAAAAAAAAACTCGGTGGCCCACGAAAAGGCATCGATACAAATAATGGCACCACCGCCCAAAAAACAACAACAACAACAAAAAAGAGATGAAAGGGCCTCTCTCTTTTCACTACTCCACGGACCACGAGTGGTCCTCGACAAATAGGGGAATGTCAATTTCAATTATAGACGCCTCGCCGCAAAGAACACATTCCATTTGTGCCAGGTCACTCGTAGAAGTCACACCCTCCAGAAATTGTCTTGGCAAACCCTCATCTGCAAGGAAAGCCTCCAGACCGCCAATTTCCTCCAGCTTTGAGACGGCACAGGCCTCATGTACCGCATGCTGGCAATCGGGATAAATAAAATATGGTGCAGAACCTCGTAACAGGAGACGGTGACACAACATGCATCGTTGCCGAGCCGTAATGTATCCAAACCGATCCTGTAATTGGGCAATTTCCTGCTTTAGATTTTCGGATATTTGACTTGCCTCGAGTTGTTGATCCCGCAACGCTGCAATGGAGGATGTATAGGCGTCCAGACTCTTACATATGGAGTCCTTAAATTCTTGTACAACCAAACTATCACTAATGTCCCCAAGAATATCCTCAAGCTTCAGTACACCGCCAGAATCCTCCACGACACTAAGTGCCATGCGGGCGTTGCCCTTCTCTAACACAGACTGTGCCACAATAAGCCAAAGTTTCTTTACTTTTGACGATTCCATACTGTTAGGAAGGGATCGAAGGACATCTTTTGCAACACGTAGGGCGGGCCACTCCTCGTCCGTGCCATGTGTCGGATCAGAACATTCTAAAGCCGTGCGTATGGCATCTTCATAGAGGTGTAACCGACGATAAAGTCCGACACATTGCCGGTATCTGCGGGCCTCCAAACATCGTCGCAACGCAAAATCAACACTATAAAAAAGAGACGACTCAAGAAATTCCTCCAATCGCTCACCATCATGTTGCGCAAGAAGACTCAAGTAGTAATCATGCACAACAGTCGACACACAGTCAAATTTGTTGATGCAGCGTTCCAAGAAGATGATAACTTGGTGTTCCCCATTGCCTGGGTCCTCGTTCATCTCTGGGGAGTACTGAATAAAAATCGGAATGAGTCGTTCCAGTTGTAGCAGCATATACGCCCCTCCCTGTGAGTCGCGTGTCCCGACACGCAGCATGGCGGTGGTGAGTCGAATCGGGCATTTTTTCATGAGAACAGGAGAAAATTCGTACCACAGTTCAAGTGTCTCCGTTCGCCGTGCGAGCGTTGAAAGAACATCGGCCGCCTGGATGTAATTCCCATGCGAAACATAATACGTAAGGAGATAGTGGGCCTTTTTGATCTTCTCTGCAAAGCAAAGAGCAAGTTCGGGCTGTCCTTGTCCTTCCAACAGGCGGGCGATAAGATCATTATATGAACGCCTTTTAAACAAGGCGGGTTTTTCTTTTATAGTCTGTTCAATGAATGTATTTAGACTCGCGGTTGCTTCCACACTCGTTTTCTCACTCACCTCACTTCGTGTAATGCCGTTCAGCCGTTGCATCAAAATAAGGGCAAAAAGACATGCCAGTTGGGTCTGCATTACAGGTGTATCCAAAGCATATTTGGACAAAAGTTTGTATCGCTTCTCCACGTAGAGTTGCAATACCTTGTAATTGCCTAGAGAGACCAGAAGGTCGTAAATGTCTTCAAAGCGATCGCAGTCGGCCAAAATATCCGTTGCGTATTGAATGGCTCCAATCTGAAGAAGAAATTTACCCCGAAGTAACTGAACAATATTTTTGCTGGACGCACGATATTTGCTAATATTGTATGCGGCTTGGAAAAAACGCTTTCTTAATGGGAGTGACTCATTGCGGTTCACTGCTCGATACAAAAACAACCACCACTGCTGTCGATGTTCTTGTTCCACCTGAAGCTCCCACAAAATATTTTTTCCAAAAATGTAAATCTTGCGTGCCGCCGTGTCTCGCACGATTCCACGCAACTCCGGAAGTTTCCTCGTGGCGCGAAAGGGGTCAAATCGTATGCGTTCCTCTATTTCACATGCATACGGGCAGTCCCCGTGTAACGTTGAGGACGAGCCTCGCCATGTGAGACCTGCAGGGTGATTCAACACAACAAGACGGTCATTGTAAAGCAGAATCATGTGAAACGCCGTAAGTGCCAATTCCATCGGCATTTTTGTCTGTGGAAGCGCATGACTACTTGAAGAGGAAGAAGAAAAAGCCCCTGCATCATGCGGAGGTTGCTTTACTTTTGTCAGTGCAAGAAGTTGCTCGTTCACCACCGCAGTCGCACCGCTCCACCCGAAGATGGCAGCCTCACTCTTTGAAAGATCATGATGGATAGAACGGTTCATCAAACCATGCACAATACCCGATGTACTGGTCCATGCGTAGGATTGTGCCGGCATGCCCACACCAGGTTGGTACAACACAACGGCGCCCCGCGCTGATACGTCGGAGGTAGCGCTGGACTCACGGATATGCAGTATCTCAGGCTCTTTTGCCACCTTCTCAATTAAATCTATCGGGCAAGACGCTTCACCCTCCGCACGGTACAATCGCGCGGCCGTAGAGAAAAAAATTAGCCACAGACTATTTACACGCTCAACTTGAATGGAGGCCAATGGGCTCTGAAATTCACCCGCGGGTAGTTGCAAACATTGCCGACATGAAGCCTTAACAGCACCATCTCCACCTACATCTATTTTCACCTCAAAAACAAAACCTCCAAGTTTTGTGCCTACAAGACAATGCACTTTCGTTGTCGTAAGATTTGGTTCCTTCGTTTTTTTAACAGGCAGCCAGCAGACACATTCGGCAACGTTGTTGCTCGTCGTCAGAAGTGGCGCCGAGGTTACCGTCATTGCTCCATCCCGTGCTCCAGCGCGATGCTGCAATAAAAAATGGCCCGACACTTTGCGCTGTCGCGAGGAAAAGTAATACATCTCTCCATCCGTAGCAGCGACGAGTGTGTGTGAGCCCGTGGGGTCAAGAAACACCCGGTACGGATTGCGAATGGCCGCAGTAAGAGGTTTAATGTCCTGCACCGTGTCTCGCACCACCAGTCGACCCTTCTCTCCCAGCAATGCCATGACATCGCACTGGGAGTCCATGGAAAGAATGGGCTCTTCCAGCTCGTGCATAATCGTTGTGAGCTCAAAATGTGGGGCGAGGGTCTCCGCCTCCCCTTCCTCCCCAAGACGGTACAGCAATGAGGAGGAAGAGGAATCGGTTGAGGAAGAACGACCACTAGAAAACGCCATACGTCTCAAGTATCCAATGGAACTGACCAAAAGCTCCCAGCTAAAAAAAAAAAAAAAACTAAAAAAACACCAACAAAAAAAAAGTCTTAACAAAATGCACCACACATAATTCCACACACACACACACACACACACAAAGCAAATGCATACATTTCGCATGGAGTAAAAAAGAAGCAAAAAAATAATAATAAAAGAAAAAAAAAACATTGTGGTACATCAATTCTCGTTACATGTCGGAGTTGCAGCTCCATGAAAAACGTCAAACAAAAAGAAAGTGAGAGATCTGTGTAAAGCAAAATTCCACCTCGTTTTCTATATATATATATATAGGTGGAGATAAATACAACGTAGCAGTAACTCATCACACTCAGCCCCCGCCCCCTTCCTTCGCTTCTCCCTTTCTTTCTGTTGCTACCGCTGCTGTGTATTTTTGCCCCTTTCTCTTCTTTTTGTTTTTGAGCATCTTTTTTCTTTTTTCTCTTTTTTGTTGTGTGTTTCTGTGTGTCATCCCATTCCCGCTGCTTAGCTCTCCAGCTGCATGGTAACTACCTGCCGAATGAGATCATCCACCAGAACACGGGCCTGCCGCTTCTTCGCCAGAACTTCCTCTACCTCCTCCATTAACCACGGGAAGAAGTCAAACTCCACCTCATGCACGACGCGATCGCGGAACCAGCCCTCATCCTGCAGCCGTGCAAAAACCCGGTTCTCAAGATTCATGAGGTATACCTTGGCAAACTGTCTTGCCTGGAGCTTCTCACGCGTCTCCTTCTCGCGCTTGATGCGTTCAATCTCCTGCTTCTTACGACGCTCCTTTTCTTCAAACAAACGCTTTTCACGGGCCTCAAGACGTTGTGCCTCTAGAAGCTCCTCCTTGCGTCGCTGTTCAAAGTCCAGCTGCTGTTGCCTTAGCAACTCCAGTTCTTCTTCCTGAAGAACTTCCAGCATCGCTTGTTCCAACGTCTTACCGACCATTACGTCGAGTATCGGATCAACAGCGTCATCAAAGTGAAACAAGTCACCCTCGTTGATCTGCGACTCGGCGTCACGTCCAGACTTGACGGGTACGTACTTGGGAGTTGCCGGACGATCAAGCATGGGGTCAGTCTGCGTTTCCTGCGTCACCACCTCCACCTCGTCCTTGAGCTCCTCTAGAAACTCTTCCGTCTGCACCTCTATGTGTTGTCGACCGTCTACGGGTGGGGGTGTCGCAAGTCGCCGTTGGGCAAGATCCATCTCTTTACGTCGCTTAATAGACGCCGCTCGCTGAGCCATCTCTTTTTTGCGTCGAACAAGTTCGCGTTCTTCCCGTGCTTGTTCCTCCATAGCATGTGTGGAAATTGGCGTCGCGGCGTAGGTGTTCCCTCTGTACACACGACGGTCATGCATAATATTTGCGTACTGTTTGCGTCCTCGAGATCCCGCTGGATCCCGGTACTGTGGACGAATAAAACCCTGGGGTGGATGCTGAAATGTGTACGCCATGGCGCCACCCTCCCCCACTGCACGCCCATGCATCTGCTCCATTTCAAGCTCCTGAGGTCCTCTCTTCCTTCTTACCAAACGTGTTCTTCGCTGGGTGTTACGACTGCGCGAGAAGATTCCTTTTCACTCCACGTACCCTCCACCCTTTTGTTCCAAATCGCCTCCTGAAAATAAATTCCTGCTACCTTCCTTTATTTTCAGGTTGTTTTGCTCGTCCTTCTTCCGCTCCCACCAGCCGACACACACGCTTCTGCCCTTTAGAGGGAGGAAACAGATAATTCCTTCACGGAGTGCCCACGTCACACACGAGTTTACAGCCTTCTTTTTTTATTCTCACGGCCCTCCACTATCCCTTCCCTTGTTTTTTTCCTTCCACTTCCTTCCTTTTGTAACCGACCCCCTAAAGTGCACGAGTAACGCACATACAGAAACAGACACACACAGTCGTTGCAACCGTGAGCGCATCATCATTTGACGAAAAGAAAAGAAAGAAAAAATAAGAAAAAAACAAACGAGAAAAAGACAAATTCCAAAGAAATGGCACACACACAAAAAAAAAAATATAAATAAATAAATAAATAGCACCCTCCACGGTTGTTTCAACGGAACTATTCGTTTGTTCCCTTCGCCCATTTCTCTTGTTGCAAAATGACAGGCCATTTCTTCCCCTCCCCCTCTCATCGTGTCTCTTCAGAGCAATTCGTCAGTGGGCCCAACACTGCGTGCAATAAGAAACCGACATCCGCAGCCGCCATGACGCGACGCCGCCTCCTCCTCCTTTTCTTCTGTTTGTTTCGTCACACCCAAACAATCACGCAGCCACAATACCACAGAGCTGGTGGTGTCAACCCAGAAATGCATGAAAGCCACACAGGAAGGGAAGCGGCAATAATATAAGATAAAAAAAAAAAAAAAAATAGAAGCGAGCCCCGCCCCCAACATCAGCCAACAATAATAAGTAAAGCCTGTACAATTGGCAGTAAAAGACATAGGCACAAAAAAGGCAGAACCGTATTATCGTGGTAAGGTTAAATATACATACATACATACATAGATATTCCACAAAACGTTCCATTACGCCTACATGCTAACTGAGGTCGGAAAGACAACGTGACATCTTCTCTCCGCCATCTGCTCCCCCCACTCCCGTAACTGACGGCTTTCCACCTATCAGAGACGGTACCATGACAGATGGCGATTCCCCAAAGGAGACGCAACGATGTCAACAACAGTCGTGTGCAGATCGTTCATGGAATATACACAAAATAAATCGACAGATGTGTGGCGAAAAACACCGAAAAATAAAAAATAAATAAAATTATGTTCCTTGGAAAAACACACTGTGTTGGATTGAGGCAGAAATAATAATAAATAAATAAATAAATAAATAAATAAATATACACATCACAATACAGTCATAAGTAACTTACAAAAACAAAACTACATGCATGACAACTGGCATAAATGATTCAATAAGTGACGCCATTTGCGCTTCATTATTTTAGACAACAAGAACCAATTCTCATTTATGTACATCGCCCCCTCTTTTTGTCACACGGCAGCAAATATCGGTCTTTTTCCTTTTGCAAATGTAAAGCCACGGCGTGCATTCCCTAAGCTGCCAAATTCCCACAATTTGATGTCAAGTGGAAACCTCCCGTTTATAAAATACGAAAACGGCAAAAAAAAAAAAAAAAAAAACATGTAATCATCAAAATAATCAACCAGAAGTAAAAAAACAAAGCAAAATAAAAAATAAAAAAATAAAATAAAGGCAACCTGGAAACAATGACGCCTTTATATATAAAAATGCAAAAAAGAAGAAAGTGATATTATTTCCATTTCGTATTCCTTTTGACACGTTTATTTGCACTTCGCGACAATTACAATGACATCCAAACAATGTAAGACAATCTCCACATCATGATGAGACAAATACCCGTCTCATTTTACTTCTTATACACTATATGCACACACACTCACCAAAAAAAAAAAAAAAAAATCATGCGGTACGCTAATTCTGAAAATCAGCGGACTCGCAGGAACTCGTAGAGACGCCACGCGGTGTCCATCCACCGCCAGCGACGCCGGGCTTGGCCGCTACGGGATTGAGAGGGGGCAAAGAAACAATTTTCGCCAGAATCTTGGGCGGAGTGAAGAAATACAACACGCAGGGACAGTCACCGCCTCCTTTACGGTTCACTCGCTCTGCCACAAAATTCAACAAACAAGTTTTGGAAAGTTGCAACACCAACGCCTGTTCACGAGCATTCGTTGCATCCCCTGTAGACGCCAGTTTTATGCCATAATTATCAAATACAGTTAACTTCACCGCGTCATCGGCTAGAAAATCAACAAGAGGATGTACATTTCGACGACGCTTCACCTGCCCCAATAAAACATGAACATCACACGGATCACTCACTTGCAAAGACACACGGAAAGAGCTATTGAGACCACTTTTCAGCACAAAATCCACGACAAGCGGGTCGCGCTTGAGGCCGGCGTATCGCAACGGTGTCAACGTCACCTTTGCCATCCCGGGATAAACAGAAATATTGAACTTACCGTGACAGCCACGCTTCATGGTGTACGGGATAAGATAACATGTCGTACTGGGTGGAAGGTCCATTTGCGAGCATACCTCCCTCGCGTCCAGCATCATACCCTTTTGAATAAACCGGTGTGTGCTACTTGTGATGAGCGGAGTCGGTGCCATCTTGGCATGTACAGATTGCATCAACACCAATCCCGTCTGGTGGTAGTGGTTCAAGCCATCACTATCTGAAAAGGACGGCGTTTGGTGACGTAATTCAGCCAGAATTCTCACTGGACGAGAGGATTTGTTCTCCACCAAATAAATCGGATTGTTTCGGAAGGTCGTAAACTTTGGATTGCCTCCACAAGTCTTTCTATTCCACTTACCGACAGCAGTGAGACGATCACCGCAGTTAATATTGCATCGCTGCATGCTTGAGAAATTATTCAGGAAAGTCAAGAGGGGCATGAACAAGTGATCAACACGAGAGGGATCAGAGCCGCAAACGTCCCTCAATTCTTTTTTCCAGCTTCCGTCGTTCCGGTTGAGAGGTCCACTATAAAAAGGCTCATCAAAGTAGCAGTTGTGCAGTTTTATCACAATGTCTGCGGGATCATTTGACTCCTTCACGGCTTCAATAACCGCGAAGAGGGCATAACTGCACAGCGGATGGATGCCGTCCCCAGCATCCACGTTAGAGATGCAAGTAATGACATCACCGCGCTCCAGATCCTTCGCAACGCCACCCCAGAATTTCACCGACCTAAAATCGCCCGTGTTGGCAGCCTCCGCCAGTTTATCGTCAAGAGGGATGTGAAGCACCGGGCAACCCGTCAAATCCCGCAACGTTTCATGCGGTGTGCACTGATCAAGCCGGGAGTACCCACCAACAAACTTCGCGTAGGCCTTCTCCAGCAATAGCGGATACCATGACCGTTTCGGGACTCGTGTAAACTTCGGTTCCATGTTTGCGTCCACTGGAACACGGTCGTCAATTTCGACGCGCACCGGGTTGCTGTTAGGATCATAAAAAATAAACGAATATGGGCCGTTCACAGGATGCTCTTTTGAATCGAAAAGACGGTCAATAAGTGGAGGATGCCTACTCATGGCGGCAATGAATGGAGCCAAATATCCCAGTTCAAGTGGTGCAGAAGAAACTTGTGATGGAAGCGTTTTCTCCGGCACCACCGGATCACGGATACCCTCTGGGTAAAGCTCACAGATACGTGGCCACTCCTCCGCCATATGCTTATTCGATTCATGGAATTCCTCGTCTTGCCAGCCGCGGTACTCAAGTGCCAATGCGCGTACACGGTCCCGCATCTTTTCTTCATATTCTTCTATTACTTCTTCGCTGATTTTTGGATTTTGCCGTAGTTGCCGCCGCTCCAACTCCATTTCATGGAAAGTACTATCCGAGTCAAGAGGCAACAGTTCCAAGGGTACGCCCTCCGGCTCTCGCTCCAGAAATGCACGTTCATTTTGAATAAATTCTTCGGCCAGCCGCAATTCCCGATCATTCAATGCATTCTCAATGTTTTGGATCTCATCGCTGTTTGCCGCCGGGTTCTTCTTCAGTCTGCGTCGCTCCAATTCAAGTGAATGAAACGCATCGTCTCTGTCTAGTTGAAGTTGCGTCAAAGAAACTTTCCAAGGATTAGGCTGTAAGTACTCACGATCGCTCGCCAAAACACCGTCCGCAATCTTTAAAACACGTTCAAACATCATCTGCTTTTCCTCCGCATCATCAAGCATTTGGCCACGTTTTGCTCGTCTTGCACGCTCAATGGCGCGCAGTGGCAAGTCATTGTTTAAAGAAAGCTCCTCCAATGGAATCCCAAAAGGCGATAAAGGTAAAAAAGAACGTTCTTCGTTCAGTAGCTCTCCTGCCAACTCAAAAGCACGGCCATCTAACTCATTTTGAAGCTCTTTCCACGTCGACTGATCCATATGCGCATCCATGGTATGAATGCACAATACTTCATCAATACGACGGAATTTCTCATCGGTATTCAGCGGCAAATCGTCAAGCGGTACACCAAGGGGTTCAGGATCGAGAAATGCGTGGTTCCTCGATAAAATTTCTTTTGCCAATGCATGGGCTCGATCGTTCATTTTCCTCTCAAGTCTTCTTAAAGAATGAACTTCATTTTTCAACAAGGGTAAACGAAGCTTTTCACGTCGCTTCAATTCAAGTAATCGAAATTTCTTGTCAAGATTCAGAGGCAAATAACGAAGCAAGACGCCCTCGGGCTCTGGATCAAGGAACCGACGCTCGTTGTCCAGAAACTCCTTCGCAATCGCCCTCACACGGTCATGTATATCGTCTTCACATCCACGAATAAAATCCCCATTTCGTTTAGGGTCCTTTTTGAGCTCACGGCGCTTGCGCTCCAAGGCGTTAAGAATGGGGTCGTGATTGAGAGGAAGATCTTCCACGAGGACGCCGAGGGGCTCGGGGTCGAGATAGGCCCTTTCCTTTTTGAGAAACTCCCTTGCAACCTCATGCGCACGCACGTTCAAATCTTCTTCGAGGGAACTCAACGTTTCGGCGGAGGCATTCGGATCATTGCGCATCCTTGCGAGGCCACGCTCCATGTCAAGAAACTTGGGATCACGGCCAAGTGGTACATCTTCCAGTGGCACACCTTCGGGCTCGGGATTCAAGAAGGCCCGTGCCTTTCGAAGGTGCTCTCTTGCAAGTGCATGCACACGATCATTCATTTCATTCTCAATCCCCTTCACTTCGGGATTATTGTCCTTTTTGTTGCTTCGCTTCAGCCGGTAGCGCTCCGCCGCAAGCTTGTTGAACTCCTCATCCGTGTTAAGCGGCAACTCCGCCAGGGGCACGCCACACGGCTCAGGGTCAAGGAAGCCACGGTTCTTCGCAAGAATGGCCTTGGCTAGCCTGCGCGCGCGGTCGTTCATCGCATCTTCCAACTTGGCCACCTCCTCTGGTGAGTGATGCGGG